ACAGACAAATAGTGTATTTTATTTTTTTAAATATTTATAATGACTGGTTTTGCTGTGAGTAATTTTACTATACATCTAGAATTTTGTTCAACACAGGCACAGACACATATCAATATGCGTCTCTTCTTAAATAAAATTCAATATCACTTATACATGTTTAGTAAAAAATGATTGGTTGAATAATATCGGCACGTTTTGTCTATCAAATTTTTAATTAATATTTTTTTAAAATTTCCTAATTGAAAAAAAATCAAAGATTAGTCTATCTGTTTCATTTTTATTTTGTTTTTTTTAGAAATATTTGTAATGTCTGATTTGATTGTGCGTACATTTACTATACTGTAATCCTGCAACAAGTTCCAGCGCCCCACGAGGCTGGCATCCTGCTCTCACCCCTTCACTGTCGAAACTCCTAAATATAGCCGTCTCTTCTACTCTAATAGCTTCATGTCTCGCACCTCTCGCCTGTGGAACTCCCTTCACTTTTCCTGTTTCCCTGTGAGATATAATCTCTAGCTATTCAAGTGTAATGTCAATCGACATCTCCAGTTGCCTAGATCTATCCACTACACTCATCCTTTCTTCTATCACTCCTATCTGATCTTGCTCTGAATTTTCTGTAACCCCTTGCGTCCTAGTGGCTTCCCGCCTTGCTTGGGGTGAAATGCTTAAAAAAAAAAAGAGTCACTAGAAACTTGTGAAGCTTTATATGACTAATTCAACTTTAGTGCTGAAATCGTTTATTTTATTATATTGGATGGTTAGAAGACGGATAAACACTTAATATATGACTACAAATACAACTCGGAGGCAGCTCAACATGTTCTATAGACAGACACACGCAAACACATGATTCAAAATAGCGTATATATATATATATATATATATATATATATATATATATATATATAGCTGTGATACAACAAACAGTCTGTCTGGGGATATATATATATATATATATATATATATATATATATATATATATATATATATATACTGCTCATCATTGTGCTAGACAAGCGACTGCTTTAAGCTGTGATCAAATTCGACAGATTTAACATCAGTAAGTGACCTTTACACCTAGGCTATCAGCGCTTGTGTAAAATAATTTTACCGCATTATATACGTGGTATATAGACGCCTGCTAACGAAGATCGATATATATATATATATATATATATATATATATATATATATATATATATATATATATATCACATTATGAAATGGACAAAGTCTGACAATTATTTTAAGACATTTTTATGTTTCTACATTTTTTTTATAGCTACAAATATTTGAGTAAATGCTCTGTTTATAATAAACAGTATTAAACAACATTTACCAGTCTGAATTTTCTGTGATTTTCATTCAGGCCGGTAAATTTTGTTTAATACTGTTCATTATAAACAGGGCAAAAATATTTGTATCTATAAAAAGGATGTATAAACATAACAATGTCTTAAAATATATTAATATATTACACCGAAATGTCAAAATCCCTACAGAGTTGCAGTCGTGTTTCGATGCATATCAATGCATCTCATCAGGCGATTCGAAATTACTGCAATTTACAATCTCTTGATAAGATGCATTGATATGCATCGAAGCACGGCTGTAATTGTGTAGCGATTTTGATATGTTTTCAGTGTAACCTAATAAAATAAATAATATTGCTCTACATTGAATTGAGCCCTTTTTTAAAATTAAATGTTACAAATGATGGAATTCGTTTTCGTTTCACCTTACCTAAATATATATATATATATATATATATAAAGAAATATAGTCTTAAGGTGTGCTATATTTATGGGATAAAGTGCTCAATATCAGAGATAGAGCGTGTGTAAATATAAAAGTGAACATAGAAGTCAACACTTAGAGGCGACAGTCTGTTTCATGCTATATGCAATCGTCAGGCCACGTGTGCTGTTATTTTTCTCGGCTATTTATATATACGGGTTAGTGGTGCATTGTGGGTATTCTATTATGGCGGTTATTTTTTTACCGGAAGTCGCTTTGTTCATTTATTTGGGTCAAGTTATATTGCTCGTTTTTATTTATTTTTTTATTTTATTTTATTTATTTATTTTTTTTTGTTTCTTATTTTATTTATTTATTTATTAACGTAGTAAAATTTGTTTATATCACGTATAAAACCTAAAAAATGAAAAAACGGAAAAAATAAAATAAAAACAAATATTTAATCAATAATAAATTGGTAAATAAATAAATAAAATAAATAAATAAGTATTTTTGCTTAAAAAACCGAAAAAACCAAAAAAGAGAAAATTATAAAATGGTTTGACCTAAATTCATCCAAGTAAATAAATAGGTCAATTTATCCCAAATTTCTGTTTTGCCAAAAAATTTTAGAATTTAAACAACCAACCCCAAAATTGAACAAATAGCTTTAATTAAATTTCAAACCAAAACAAAACTTTTTTACGTGATATAAACAAATTTTTTACTTGTTTTAAATTAATTTTTAAGAAACAAAAAAAAATAAATTTTTTTAAAATAAAATAAAAAAAATAAATTAAACGAGCAATATAATACCCAAATAAATGAATAAAGCGACTAAAAAAATAAAAAAATAATAGAATAAATAAAACCACTAACCCGTATATATATAAATAGCCGAGAAAATAACAGCACACGTGGCCTGACGATTGCATATAGCATGAAACAGACTGTCGCCTCTAAGTGTTGACTTCTATGTTCACTTTTATATTTATATATATATATATATATATGTGTGTGTGTGTGTGTGTGTGTGTGTGTGTGTGTGTGTGTGTGTGTGTGTGGCTGTGTTTGTTCATATATGTTTGTTTGAATAATAAATACAAATTCTAGCTTTCCAATTTTTTAAATAACTTTCTCAAATTTCCAAATTAATTGCTTTATATTAACGGTAAATTTAACTATGTCCATATTTAAGTACTTTCGAATTTTATTGATGCTTCGTTTTGAGTATGTTTATGTAATTCCCTCTTTTGTTTGGCACCAATTTCTTATCACTGAAGGTAATGTCATTTAAAATGTAAAACAGTATTCTTATGGGCAATTAATTTTTTTTATAGTCACATCAATATATGATCATCTATGGAAAAACATGTGAAAGTATTCGAAAAAAGTCAGTTTAGCAAATTTACTTATATAAGACAACTCATTCAGGAATTTGAAGAAGTTAAGGAAAAAACTTGGATAGGCAGAACTTGTCGATTTTATTTAACCAAACCTGAGTCAAAGTACCTTCTTCTATATATATATATATATATATATATATATATATATATATATATATAAAGGTGAACATTGAAGTCAATACTCAGAGCCGACAGGCTGTTTCATGAGAGACGCGATCGTCATACCATGTCATATATATATATATATATATATATATATATATATATATATATATATATATATATGGGTCAGTGGTGCATTGCAGGTAATACATTCTGGCGGTTATTTTGGCGGGTGTGACTAGTTTATTTAATTTATTTTACCTGTCTTTTATTTTCATTTTTTAATTTATATTTCTTCTTTTCGGTTTTTCGATGTTCTATTAACGTAGTAAGAAATGAAATTTGGGGTGGGTATTTGTTTAGGTCGCTTATTTAATATCTTGTTTTGTCCTGGCAGATAAATCTATTTATTCGTCCAATTTTTGGATTGATTGCTGTGGTCTATTCTGCCATTTTGGCGGGAGACGGTTTTTAATTTCTTTTTTATTTTATTTTTTTATTTTTTTGAATTGATTATTTTTACTTGCTTTTGCTTATTTATGTATATTTTTATTAGTTCCTACGGTTATTTTCGCGGGGGCGATTTGTTAATTTATTTATTAAGATTAATTTTTTTCTTATTTATTTGCTTATTTTTTTATTTTGTACATTTTTATTTACTCTATTTGGTTTTCGATCTTTTTTATCGTCATGTATCAGTTATAGCTATTTTCACGTCCAATTTTTGGATTGATTGTTGTCGTCTATTCTAACGATTGTTAGTTTGTCAATTTGTTAATTGTTTACTTTATTTATTTGGGTTGATTATTTTTACTTGTATATTATGTGTTTATTTTTTTAATTTTTATTTGTTCTATTTCGTCTATTCCAACGGGGGTGGTTTGTTAATTTGTTTATTATTTGCGTGAGTTAATTTATTTTACCTGTTTTTTATATTATTTTTTTTTACTTTTAGTTATTCTTTTCAGTTTTCGATTTTCAAGTAACCTGGTAAAAAATTGTTTCCATGTATGCATTTTGAGATGAGCTCAGATCGTTTATTAAGTAATTGATTTTGGTCTGGGAAGGTAATGATAGCTATTTTATCCTCCAGGTAAAGTTTGCATGTTTTGGATTGATTGTTGTAGGCTGATGATCTTTTCCTTATTTCCCAATATATTTCTGGTGTGATTTCCGTTATGTTTTTAATTTCCAAGATATACTTAGAAAACATTGTGCGGTTCGCGTATTTAGTACTGCTTCATATTTTCAAGCGAAATTTGGAATGTAAACATGGCAAGAAATCTAAACAGAGTTCAATAAGCAAAAATCCTAATACTGGCAAAATTTGCACAAGAAAAATAGAAAAAAATGAGAAAACTTAAAAGCTCCTAAAAATAGAATGTATTGACAGAAAATATTTGAATATATTTCTGTCGATTTAAATAAAAATATTGAAAAATAAATTTGCTTATATAATTTGACACATGAAGAAACAATGCTTCTGTCAATATTTCATTGGAATTATTAAGTAAATTTAAGAATATATCATTATCATAGAATAGAAAAAGGTTATGATGAGATGATACTCAAGATATATTTAAATAGAATTATATATATATATATATATATATATATATATATATATATATATATATATATATATATTATTATTTTTTAACAAAATTTCTTATTTCATTGCGAAAACAATGACTCGGATAATTTAATTTAAAATGAGGAAAGACGTTGGGGAAAGAGGAAATAAAAATGGGATTAGGAGTATACAACAAAAAGAGTAATGGAATTAATTGCAGCGAGATAAAGGTGAAGAAAGATATAAAGACAGAGAGAAAAAGAATGAAAGGGAATAAGAAAAAAAGAAAGAAAGAAGAAAAAAGTAAAATCAGAGAAATGGAATAAATATTGGAAGAAAGAAAGTGTTGTATAACGTAACTATAAAAGCTAATGGGTATATCCTTATCCTCATAAATATGTTGGACACTACTGTAAGTGGAGGTAATATGCGAAGTAGTCCACCACTAGCAGTGGTTTACCTACTTTACGCCGCTGGTGAGTATTCTATTTTGTGATGTCATAAAGATTACAATTTCATTTCTAACCTCCATTTTGGTTATTCATCATCTTGTAACAACAGAAAGAAAGAAGGACAGAAAGAAAGAAAGAAAGAAAGAAAGAATGAATGAATGAATGAAGGAAGGAAGGAAGGAAGGAAGGAAGGAAGGAAGGAAAAGGAAAATCAACAAAAAGAACACGTGTAGAAAGAAAGAATGAAAAACGAAATATGAATGCGTGATTAAAAGAAGGAAGGATGAAAAAAAGAAAATTTGTGAAAATGAATAAGAGTTGAAAGACAAAGAATGAATAAATGAAGAGAAAAAGGAAAATCGTAGAAAAGACATGAGTGTTTATAGAAAGAAAGAATGGAAGAAACGAAGAAAGAGAGAAAGAAAGAAAAATTAAAGAATGATTGGAAGGAGGAAGAAAAGAAAAATCGCAGAAAATCAATGAAACAATGGAAAAATAAGAATGGATGAAAGAATGAAAGAAGGAATAGAAAAAAAACAGGACAAATGGGATGAGTTGTTTCAAGAAAGAACGAAATAAAGACAGAAATACCTACCCTAAATCCATCATAAAAAATCACGATGAGGAACTAGTAAATACTAAACACTATAAAAACATTGGTGCATAGATGTGTTATAAAAAGGAAATTCAGCATAGAACTCGATGTTGTTTCTTCTAAATTGGTGTTGTTTAACCCAAATTGATAAAAGTCAAAACATTAACCCGAAAACTAGATTCATGTACTTAAATAGTTTCTTCATATCGAGACTGTCTTGTGGACGCCATGCATGTTATCAAACTTGTTTTTAAACCTCTAAATTCCCAGCTGTAAACAAAAGATTTCTCATATCAATGGCTAACAATGGCTGCAAGCGAATGAACCAATAGATTTTAGCTAGGGTCCTCTTTCTTCAAATATTCTGGAATGGCGCTACAGAATCATAAAGAACTGTGCCAAACAACAAACACACGTTACATGATGAGTTTCAACAGCAGCAACGACTAAAATCGATAGCAAATGTAAGTCTAAGTGATAAAATTTGACATATATTAACGTTCCACGATAATTCAAGTAAAACGCTAGGGGGGAAAGCACCCATAAATATTGGAATGTGCGATAACAATTACTGGACATGAGAAACCTATTTTCTCGGAAAAGAGTTTATATATTTCAGCCGACAGCAACAGTGGCTGTTTGGTTAATGAATGTTAAATGTTTCCTTATAAAGAAATGGCTTATATTACAATTAGCACCGTAGCAGGCGTGAACAGATAATACACTTAGTACTTATTTGCTTCCCTACGCTGGAAGGCTGTGACGAAAGGTCAGTTTCATAAATTGTGACCGAAAGCGTGAACCCAGGCCAGATCAAAAAAAGAAAAAAAAACATAGACCAGTTCACGAAACTGTCGGTTGTGCTTGCATCGGTCTAACAATCAAGTGCATTAAGAAAGGTAGAGCCGTGTGCAACTGTTCGCCTCAACTTTCAATAATATTTTCAGTTGACCTCTGTCCACAGACAGAAAAACAACCGAATTGTCCTCTGTCTGTAGGAAGATACACAACTGAGAGATAAAATGTAGTTTATCCCTCCGAGGGTAAATACTACACTTTGATCCCAGCCTGATGCTCAGGGGTGAAAACAAAATGTATCACGAGTAGCACTGTCTGCTTAGTCAAATACGGTTAATATTAACATTACCATTGTCAGATTCATGTTGAAAGTGGATGTAGAAGTGCCTGTGAGCATCTTTTTTCACGGTATAGTTAGTTTTAAAGCTAGGGTGAAATGTCACAGGAGAAGCATCAAAACGTTCCTTAGGAAATAAGGTAGAGAAAACAAGCCACTGTATCGTAGTAATGTAAGTCTATTGAGAATTCCGTAGAAGGAGAGGGACGGAAACGCGGGTTTTTATGGAAAATGTTTAAAAAAAAAAAAAAAAAGGAGACGTATACACAGAATCAGAAAGTGACAGCTGACATTTATTGGACACAAGATGATGAAAGGAAGATCCTGAGGACGTAAACATCGTTGGAGAGCATATCCAGGACTAGAGAGACCGGGGAATGCAGCGGAACACCTCACTGATGTGTGAATGGCTGATGGAACGGGAGGGGGCGCACCGATCGGCTTGACAATAAGAGAAGCTCTGATCAGGTCTACACGGCATAGGATCCTGTGGAGAGTCAAGATCACGTAAGTTCTGAAGCGAAACGCCAAACAGAATAATAATGAAACGCCAAACAGAATAATAATGATAAGGACCATCTAATCTCAGGATGTTCTATATGAAAATGAATATAAAAATCGTCACGATAGAGTGGGGCAATACTTGCATGCAGAAATGTGTAAGCAAACACTGAATGAACATTTACAGAAATAGAAGATGTCACCATTCTAATTAAATGAATGAAGCAAATAGGCTTTTGTCAAAACAGAAAGCAGCATTGCAGTTTGAAAAACTATCAAAATACAAAGACCTGGAAATTGAAATAGAAAAAATTTTACCAGTGGTTTGAAAGAATCCCTGAAACCCCAGCTTAAGAGACATAAAAATTGTCTTATTAAGTACCTGGAGAACTTTGTTTATGTAACGTCATCTGAAAAAAAAAGGAAAAAAAAAATTAACATGAAATGTGGCCATAACAACACACCACGACCTGCCTTAGGTCAGACTTGGTAGGTAGTGTCCATATCATAATAATAATAATAATGATAATAATAATAATAATAAGGTAAGTATTATTTAATAAATGAATGTACTCTTTCACAGATGCAGTCTATGTAGGCGATTTTTATTTGTATTAATAATGGCCTGAGGACGTCACTGAATGAACTGGAATATGTTTCACACATTATGACATTGACATATGGACCAGATGCTCAGCCACACAGTAAATGAAACAAGCACACATAATTATTGGACACATGTTTTGATAAGAATATATATATATATATATATATATATATATATATATATATATATATATATATATATATATATATGTGTGTGTGTGTGTGTGTATGTATACGGGTGGGCTGACGATTGCATCTAGCATGAAACAGACTGTCGCCTCTAAGTGTTGACTTATATTCACTTTTTATATTTATATATATATATATATATATATATACATTGTTTATATATTATACGCGCTCAATATCAGAGATAGAGCTAAAATTTTAACTCACTTATTAGAAAGCGCTCAGTATCATAGATAGAACTAAAATATTTCATCTCGCATCAATCCCACTATATATATATATATATATATATATATATATATATATATATATATATATATGTGTGTGTGTGTGTGTGTGTGTGTGTGTGTAGGTATATATAGGGTGCGATGGATAAATTAATGTCAAAATTACGCAAAAATAAAAATCTCATTTTGACAGATATATGTACCAAAATTACACAAACATATATTGAAATACTAAAGAGTAAATTTGTTGAATAAAATCTCTAGTGGCTTCAATCACGGACTTCAGACGACTTCAGAATCTCGTCCAAATTTCTCTGGACTGTCTCCTTCTTTAAGATGGTGAATGCTGCCATAATCCTTGCCTTCGGGTCATCTTTTCTCACACATTTGACTTTCACTCAACTGCGCCCCATGAGTAATACTTAAGCGTTTTGCAGTCTGGGGAGTAAGGTGTGATGTCGGAGAAATTTTTCGACAGATATGACTGGGTTCTCTTGATTTTATGGCATGCTGCAGAGTCCTGTTGCTAGACATAGATTCTTCCAGTAGCCAATCTCTTGACCCAGGGCATCACTACCTCCTCAATGCACTTGATGTAAGTCTCCTATTTTGAGCCTGATGCTTTTTGGACAGATGAATGGAGGCATAAAATCGCAGTCACATGTGATCACACCAAACGCATGATATTGACTATATATTTGGTTTTCATTACTCTCTTACATGTTTAGGGAAGACAGGAAGCCAAAGGTTGTTCGGTGTGTTTCGCATTTTATCCTAGCAGGGAATGCTTGGATTTGTTCAAAAGCTACGTAGCTTATCTTTCTTCTTGCGCTTCATGTCTTGGGATAAAAATTGGCCCTTTCTCATTCGTGTTTGAAAAATACCGAATGTCATCATGTACTAACTGCCTTTTAATATGTCCCTCTCTATAAATTAACTGTCAATCATGGCCTCGATGTCACCAGCAATTTCAGGATTTCTTTTCTTATCGGAGTAATTACGTGAGTTTTCCGAGCTGCCGTTCCTTCATAATAACCATTAGATTTATTCAATCCCCCTCTTAATGATGAGATTTATACCCAAACTCTGAACATTTCGTATTGGAACTTTCGTCGCGATTCCGACGCAGTACAGCACACCGTTTTCATATTTTCTCACGGGGCCCAACTGATTTAACTATAATGTGCAATCAACAAAATCAAAAACAATCAACGCGCATGCGCTAAATAGAAATATAAAAAAGCGACAATTTACCCATTACAAAATGTATACTGAATTAACACGAAAAAATCTGTTTACCATAGAGTTTTATGTTTTGTGTAGGTCTGTTCGTCCTATACATCTTTTTTTCATTTTCATCGTTTTATGTTATTCACTGATTGGCTAAAGTTGTTGGTAAGGAATAGGCTATATATATATATATATATATATATATATATATATATATATATATATATATATATATATATATATATATTGTATGTTTATATATATATATATATATATATATATATATATATATATATATATATATATATAGGCTTAAACACTAATATTCCATGGTCATAATTTATTCCATTGGAATCGTAAATACGATCCAAATCATCAGACCTACAAATTCAAAATGAAAAACAGAAAAAACAACTCCGGAAATCAAAAAACGAATTTAGAGAAAGAGTAAGTATGAGGAGGAGGGACAGAGAGAATTTAGGAGATGGGGGTGGGGGGGAATTTAAAAAGAAGAGAAAGAAAGTCGACGGATGTCTAATGCATAAAGATACATTTCATTGTGTGACATACATACATCACAGACAATTAGAAGTTAGGATAGGAAGTAGGGGAAAAAGAGAAGAGGTGGGGGAGAGAGATGGGACGAAGGAAAAAAAAATTGTTTACTTAAAGGGCCGCTTTGTAATTGAGAAAATTAGTATAGACTCCAGGTTAGAATCAAATATAAATATATGAAGGTGAATATAAAGATTGTCTTATTTAGTAAGGACCAAATATTTCTATGTTTACATTTATGTATATATATAGTCATCCACAGACAGGCTGATTTGGTATAAATCAGAGATTCGGCTATTGGTCACACGGCAGAGAAGAAGGGAAATTTTAACGTTTTCTATGCGAAATTCGTCAGTGGTGTGGAGAGCTCAATTCACTTTGTTTGAAGAGCAATGTGTTAATCACAGTATGAGTGATTATTTTTAAAATTTCCCTTTTTGTTAAGAGAGCTCAACAGGACTTTCCGGGAGTTTTTATATTGTCATCGACAGACAGACTGTTTCGTTCCGATTGCTTAAAGCCGGACTCGAAACTACTACTCATAGTTATACTACCCCTAGATTATCGTCGCGAGGCAGAGATGAAGGTAAATTGTAACGTTTTCTGTGCAAAATACGCCAGCTTCCCGGGGAGCTCAATTCAATTTTGCTGAGGTGCAATGCCTATATATATATATATATATATATATATATATATATATATATATATATATATATTGTGTGTATTTAGGCAGCATCTTTTCATTCAATATATATATATATATATATATATATATATTATTTCGTTTAGTCGATATAATTTTCTAGGTAATTTCTCATTATTTTAATTAAAAATCTGGGTGGAATTTACTGAATATTCTTTCATGCTAATCATTTTCATTATCAATATTATTATCATAAGGATCTTATCATCTTTTTGGTTAATATTCATCCACAGCAAAACAATCATCATTATTATGCGTAGTCTTCTTAAATTACCTACAACTTTTTTGATGGCGATGATGATGATGATGATATATACACTCTTTCTTTTCACTGTCAAATATGGCTGGAGGAATATTAAATACATTAAATACGTTTTTAGTTTTAATGCCGCCATTTTGTTTTTATGAAATATTTTTTTGAATTATTTTTACTGAGTTGAATTTAGGGATCATCCTTTTGAATAAACCAAAAGAGAACCCTATTATTTTATATCATCGTTGTTGTTTTTGTTGTCGTCGATTCTTATTTACTACGCTCGAAATGTTGATAAATCACGCTTTTAAGCGACAGTAAGATTAAGATCGATTTTGTCTTGGCTTTATGTCTGATGAATATGGCCTAATTCATCTTGAAAATGGTCTCCATACAGCTGTCAGAAGAGACTTAATTTAGAGAAGAATATAATGTCGAAGTCATTTTCCTTTCAAAATGGAACTGTACCTGTGCTCACTTCTGGACGTTGATGGACAGATACATTTTAAATGACAACTTCCGGAATTGTTTATTTAAATATTTCTTCTATTAAACGGGGAGAGATTAAAAAAAAGGTGTGAAAAAAATGAAGAAATAATGTAGAAAAGAAATAAGGAAAAGAATGAAGTAAAAGTGGGAGGAGCAAGTCAAATAAAAAGGAAGAAGCATATTAAAATGAAAAAAAGGGAAGAAAACGAAAAATGCTAACAGGAAGTTAATGACGAAAAAGATTTTCAGACAAAATATTATAAGTAAGTATTGAAAATAAGTTAATATATGCAGAATAAGAAACTGGTTACTTAATATGTCTAATTATATGAATAATTATTCCGTTACAAAAATCTACGAGGCATCACAAAAAATTGCCAACAGTCACTGCTTAAAATGGCACGTATCTCTCACAGAAGAAAAATAGCTTCTCACTGGCCTGTTTGTATAGGGCGGACATACTAGAGACGGTGTGCTTAGTGTATCGATTACCGAGTCAGAATGAGAAATCAAGGAACCGAGTTCGAGTTCTCGCCGAGATTGAAACTTCACTTTCGCACAAATATCCGTTGGAAAGATATTAAACCATCTCTGCTACACTACCTATTGGTGTTGTGGCCTTGTTAAGGCCAGAAATAAAGATAGAAAGAGAGGAATTGAGAGAAACAAATATATTAACAGAAACAGTAATACAACTATATACAAACCAGAGTGTTACAGCAAGAATGTTCGGTCCGACTGTCAGAGCTGACCGCTGGAAACTTCCGTCTACAAAAGGCAGTACCTGCTCCTATTCATAGCTGGTTGAATCCATGCGTGCGTGGGTAAATTACCATAGTTTGTTTAAATAGTTGGTTCTCTGTGACGCGCCAGAATATTTTTTTCGTCCATCCTTCAAATCTACAAATCAAATATTCGTCCTTGCATTGAAAACTGTTGCCATATATGGTCTGGTTCCCCCGCTGTTCATCTCGAGGTCCTCTCAAAATCGAAAGACGGATATGCAATGTGATATTATCCTGATCTGGCAACTCGACTACAGTCACTTTCTCACAGACGTGCTGTGGCTTCTCTCTGTCTTTTCTACAAGTATTTCCATGGTAACTGTTTTGATGAGCTACTTTCATAGGTACCCAAACTGCATGAATTTAAGCGTGCTACTAGGTTAGCATCTCAGTCCCACCCTTTCACTGTCGATACAGTTAAATGTAGCCGTCTAATCTACTCCAACAGCCTCTTCTCTCGCACTTCCCGACAGTGGAACTCCCTTCCTCCCGCTTGCTTCCCTAATGGCTATAATCTTCAAATATTCAATTGTAATGTCAATCGACATCTTCTGATGTCTTGATCCTGATCATCGCCCTTCTCTATATCCTTTCCTCCAACACAGATCTTTATTCTTGTTCTTACTTTCGGTAACCATTTTCGTGCCAGTGGCACTCCCGTCTTGCTTGGTGTGAAATGCTTAAAAAATAACAGAGCTACCTGGAAGCCCCTGTCCTAGTGACAACTAGGCTAGGTGAATTAAAATCAAATTTTGAATTCAAAAGCGGCTGGAAGAGAAGTAGGCTCTATCAAGCTATCTTTCACGTCACACAGCACTTCGACTATGGCTGGAGCACATGTGACACCCTTACCAGTATTATGAGTTAGTGGAATCGGAACGAGAAAGGAAAACAACACGTGTCTCTTCAGATAATATTGTAAACCAACCAAATGGTACTGAATACCTTAGAATGATAACCGGTAGTTAATCCGGAATAATATAATGCCAATCGGCAACATGAAAATGTATTATTAGGAAATTCATTTGCGGCAAATAAACGATTTGTACTGCGACGATGTCAAAGTACAATAACTAACTGCTAGTCACAAAAATACCAGAATCATGCATAGTGTACTAATTCCTGCTTTACACGCCTTTCGTCTGTGCGTATGTATATCACCAAACAGTCTCTTCCTTATAGATATATATTCTCTCTTTCAAATACATACATATTTTTAAAAAAAAAAAACACTTTTAATTGGGATAAATTTAAACTGAAAATATAGTAACTTAATTAATAAGGATTTTGGCACAGTTTTCTAAATATCTATTTGTTTAAGATTTATTTATTCTTGAAAATCATTTACCTTTGTTGTTCGCCGTATACGTGTCGTCGACAAATTACGACATATGCGACGTACGACTGTTTGACTTTTTGCGACTACGAGTTGGTATATCTGGTTGTCCGGCCACGATTGCTCCGCGTCGGGTAACATGTGTGTTTCCCAGTTTAGTGTAAGACAATTTGCGCCCCAGCTCCCCGCATCGCTTGCATTCCATCGTGCACCTCAATCTCAGTGTTAGGCAGCCTAGATATAACATACATTTTCCCCGATTCCGTTTTATTTCTCTGAAAGTTTTTTTTTTTTTAAATAAAGAAAACAAAACAAGATATCTACCAGAAAAAAAATGTCTTTCTCTACTCCTCAACATGCTAAAAAGGAAAGAAGGATTATTGATCTTGACACGGAAATGATGGTGAGTAAACAGTATGAATATTTTTCTGTTTTGAGCACCAGAATTTTTTTTTGGTTTTTTGTTGTTGTATATTTAGCAAATATTAAACTGTAATATGCAGTGTTAGCAATAAACCTGATAGTCGTAAAAATGAGAAACAAGACAGAGGTAGAGAGGTCAATATGAATAATGTCATGGGTAATAAACCGTAAAAATATTTTTTTTTAAATACAATAACGCCAACAGAACGATAAAAAGATTGAAATTTAATGACATGCCGATTTAAGACCAGATCGACTTACAACCTGTTAGTCGTAACCAATCGCGGTCGTAAGACGACGACTTGTATATGACTTCATTTTCTTATATATTTTTTATATTCTTTAGAAAATAGAACCTATTTCAAATTGATTTGGTAATTTTTAATTGAATATAACGGACTCAACTGGAACTCGAACTTGACACTTCTATTCCCAATTCCGAACCGTTATTCCTCCAGGCTTACAGCGCCTCGTATTCCCAAGCGGATACCTATTTAGATAATGACCAGGCTCGACGTTGCTTAACTTCATGGTTGTAATATTGTAGTCGGTAAGTAACTGTTTTAAATTCGCGTTACTTTGCTATGCTACGTGGCTAATATTTCATGTATAGAAGGCGCTGCATTTAATATTTCCTAATATTTGTTTTCTCATGAAAAAGGCAAAGATATTAATTCAGACGTCAGCACATATACTTGACTATTCGTAACAATGCATAGATAAGAAAGTGTTTGGTTGTGAAAGGGCCCTCGCCAGCGGAAAACATTTATTAATTTACAAAAAAAGCTTCAGACTGTTACCATTCGACAGTTCATCATTATTGAACTCGCTCAATATTGAAATGTATTACTGATGTATATACCTTCAGCAATGATCGCCTTAGTGCTTGAATTGTTCCTAACCGATATTTGGAGACACTCGAATAAGATAAAACTCCACAAAAAGAATCACAATGTCTGAGGAGAGGTGAGATAGCCTGCATTTAATTTGACTATGTCCATCGTTTCTTTTGAATCTTTAATCGAAAAATGATTTCAGCGTATAAACAACGAGGGGGAAAAGCCCCTCTCGTTAAAACAACACGTCTTTCTGTCAAATAAATAGAATGCAATAGATATTTATGTAAGGAACTTATCGTGGGAAGAAAGTTCATACTGAATTTCACATAAATCAAGTAGTCCTCAGTATGGCATTAAACTACTTCCGGTATCAAGGACTCTGACCGGGAGATTGGAGATTTTGAAGTGTGTGGAACCATCTCTTAATAGCTGTTGTTCTGCAGTACACGCTAACACGTGGTGGTGGCATGTGTATGAAAAAATATTAAACTCCCAAAGAAAAACGAAACTCGATGAAAATATAAATACATTTATATAGTAGCAATACCGGCAATACATTTTTATATAAAAATAATTAGTAAGAACTCATATTTACAGTAAAATTGCAAGCAGTACCTATTTATAATAAAATGAACAGCAATACATTTTTTAATTAAAAAAGAATAAAAATACATTATGTGTGAAGTTGAAGCCATATAATTGCGTTCGAAATATATTTAGTCAGAGCCATACAATTATATTAAATAACGTATAGACGTTGCTATGCCGTTAAACAAAATCAACTAACCCCCAATATAATACAGGCATAGATAACCAGTAACGTCAGAGCGTTAGTGTTATATTGGTGATAAAAAATGAGGTATGTGATATGAAAGAAAAAGATAGAGAAGCCGGTAGGTAATGAAGATTATGAGGATTATTATAGGGTTAAAAAAAACATCCAGAGAAAAGTCTAATTCAACATTAGCAGTTCCTGGAGAGATATGACTGGACAGATGTTCCACTTTACAATATGAATACGGAGAAAATGGTGCTGATTCAACTCTGTAGAAGATTTTAGTTTGATGGATTTCATTTTTTTACGGTTTATCAATCTGTTACATGATATTTAAAGCCAGAAAATAATATGTGCATTTAAAAAAAATTGGAAATGATAATTATTTCTTATGATAAAAGTTCTACTATTTGACCTTGTTGTGGATTCCGGGGATGGAATCTTGCACAAATAAATAAACACGCCAGTAATTGAAATAGACAAATATGTGTATTAAACGTAAGAATACAAACTTGAAATGAAGATTAGTAGTCCAGGAATGCGGGTTAGTAGAAAAGTATATGTACAAGTAAGTGAAGCCGTAATTATCTCTTTTTCTGGACTCTCGTATAACTCTGGGTGGACACCCTGTCTCGATGTTTTTGTCATGCTCTCTCCGTAGTATAAGTATACTTTGGATGAGTCCATCTTGTGTACAAGGGGCGAGCCCCACAATAAACATAACTGGAGGAGAAGAGGTTAATTCATACCTTTTCCGAAGGCGTTTACGTGTAAATGAATATAAAAACCCCGACTCAATTAGTAAATCCGCTCTTCGATTTACAATTCCGAAAGGTCATTCATTACACTACCCACAGAGATAAGCTTAAAGCCCCTGGTATTGCTAAGCGGTTACTGATCTTAGTACTGGCGAGGCTCAACGTTGTCATATTACGGGAACCGATGTTCCAATCTGATATGGCTGTAAGCCTCTGCAGAAGTAGCTAGACGGTTGCTAACATTAAAGTCGGAATTAATGGAGCGAAGAATGATTATCCTCTGAAACTTTGCCATGTGGGCCTCTTAAATATTTCCCTCTTAAGTCATAATTGAAAATAAAATAAGTTTAATAGATTATATTGTAAAAGTTGCAGATAATACATACATGCCTAAATGTATGTTAAATTGACAGGTGATGTTATAAACAATCGCCAGTCTATTGTTAACTGTCGCAAAGAAATGCTTGTTAATTTTAACGATTCAAAAACTAAACTGCTCTTGTTTAATCATCTGAGAGACCCCTTTTTGTCTTTCATCAGTATGGATGATGCTAACCTCCAGGAGATTAACACAGTGTACCTTCTCTCGTTAACGTTATCGGCTGACATGAAGTAGAAAGACTATATTGAATTCATTGCTAGGTCAGCTGCTAAGAAATTTGGTTCACAGCGACGAGCTAGACATTTTTTTCTATTCAGAATCTATCTTACATATCTATAAGTCTACTATTCTTCAATGTTTAGATTATTGCTGCTACATATGGTGTGGTTGGCCTGCTATATATTTAGAAATCCTTGATAAAATCCGAAACGGAATCAGCAATTTTATTTGTCCTGATGTCTCATCTTCAGCCTCCATCCCACCGCCATAAAGTAGCCTCCGTATGCATTTGGCTGAAATACTTTCATGGTAGTCGGAGGAGCTCTTCTTTATGCTACCTAGATTTTATGAAATTAAGGGCAATACTAGACTACCGACGAGGACGTGTAACTTTACAGTTTAGTTGGCTTGATGTAACCGTTCTATGATAACGGTTACTTTTTTTCCATTTCAAATATGATAGAAAATTCTTACTATGGTACCTATAAACATAACATGACTTAAACCAACAAGAATTAATAAACTCATAATCGAAAAGTAATAAACTTGATTCGTTTTTATGCATAAAATAACTATAGTAAAAAAAGAAATTAAATGCGTAAAAATAATAAAAAAAAGATATGAGAAAATAAAGTATAAATATATAAAGTTATAATTTCAAAAAAATTCATAATTATCAATAATATAAAATAAAGAAAAAACTTATTCCACACTACTTCCACTTCTCATAAACACAAAGAGGTATAACAATACAGCCCGCACAAGAAGTAGTCGAACATGGTATGATAATCATTTAAGATATAAAACTGATAGTGACCATGCAGTGTTGAATTCTCTGTCCACACTGCTATTATCTATAAATGCTAGATTTCTGTTAATGACCACTCGTTACACATAAATAGTGCAAAGATTAAAAAGTAACTGCATACATGCAAGCTTGTATACAATACGCACATACACACACAGATAGATAGATAGATAGATAGATAGATAGATAGATAGATAGATAGATAGAATACGTGTATGTATGGGAGATAGAAAATAATGTAATCTTCTTAGATAAGTGATAGATAGATAGATATATATATAGATAGATAGATAGATAGATAGATAGATAGATAAGCAAAGATAAGCAAAGATAAGCAAAGATAAGTGATAGATGATAAGTAAAGATATGTGATAGATAGATAGATAGATAGATAGATATGTTGAATATTTGCGTAGGAAAAGAAATACGTTGAATAGGTCGCTCGATAGATAATTTATGTTTTTTACATCGAGATCATCTCGATTGTTAACACCGTTCCAGTTATGTGCTTAATTTAATACTGATTTAAGTACTTATGCCAGAGTTTACACTGTAATTGACCATATATATATATATATATATATATATATATATATATATATATATATATATATATATGCCTATATGCATAATTATTTATCTTTTCACTTTGTCTTGAAAGAGTTTGATAGATAGATAAATAGATAGATAGATAATGTGTGTTATGAAGTACGTTATTTTGTATGTGTGTGCTTGTGTGTGTGTATGTTTTTGTATGATTGTGTGTGTGTGGATATGTGTACTTGAGTGTGTGCTTCTTCCTATGAAGAATATTGTATGAATCGTGCCCCCAAGAAACGTGGATTGACTTCCAAACAAAGAAAAATGTTTTTCGCTGCATGCTATCCTTTCTTTCCTTTCCAAGTCAACTTGCAAAGCCGGCCAACGCAGACGTCTGGCACTATTATGCCTTCTCCACGGGTGGTACGATGGACACCATTTTGAAACGGAAGAAAGAAAAGAGGAAACGAATCGCTGTTCTTTTCGTTGTGATTTTCAAGTACCTCACTCCACCCCATCTCCCGTTCTCTCTCTCTCTCTCTTTTTTTTTCTCTCATGGACAGATTTTGGAAAAATGCCTCTTGTAAATAAAACAAGAAAGAACGTTGATTATAACAATAAAGGCAGTCACAGACAAAAATTATTCGGCCTCCAGGTTGTTTTGGTTCATTGTAAATTCAAAGAGAAAGATTTTGAATAATAAAAAAAAATTATATTGATGGTCAGGGTACACAATAAGCTTCGTTTAGTATGCAGCGTGAGCTATAAAATGACTATGGTTCTATACTGACCATCGTTTTTGGCAATTGGGCATTTATTATTGTTTTTATTATTATTATTATTATTATTATTAATAATAATAATAATATTGTTGTTGTTGCTGTTATGATTATTATTATTATTAGTAGTAGTAGTATTAAATCCTTCCTAGTTCAGTTTCTACACCAAAGTAATTTCGAGGTAGATTTTTACTGAGTAAGTATCACCTTTTCAAGGTGATAATTCCATCAAGATACAAAGGGCCACCGGAAGTGAAAGAGAAGGTAAAGCTTTTAGAATGAACCGAAAACATAATCCTAAGCAAGAAAAAATAAATGGCTAAAACTCTACCGCTTTTCTAAAGACTGTGGAGGAGTGTGAACTGGATGATAGAAAACCTAACTACTTCTTTTCAAATGCAATCTTGCTAAATTTAGGTATTTCCACGTTTGGGGTAATTATGAAATTTTCTAAATTTTGAATGTTATCACTTGAGACATTTGCGGTCTATTGTGAAAACTCACTTTTGTTACATTTTCAATTTTGCTGTTTTAATATTTGGGGGTTACTTTTAAGCTTAACGATTTGGGAAAATATTGTAAAGAAAGTTAATTAAAAAAATTATTACCGATAGGTTTTCAAGTTGCTCCGCTATTCGCTAATAGAAATGACGCCAAATAATTAGAATACCCAACTGCATAGAAGGAAATGGGATGCTCCATATTTAAATAAATTTATACTTTCCATATTGATCAATGAAAAGTAAAAATTTATTTAAATCTGAAGCATCCCATTTCCTTCTATGCAATTGAACATACTAATTCTTTGGCGGCATTTCTATTTCATCATTAATATTAATAATAATTATTTACTTATTTCAGTATATTCTCAGATAAATTCTATCTGGTAATTAATGCAGGGATAAAAAAAAGCTGTCTAAGGTATTATAAAAATTTTTTCTTCATTCTAATTCTCCATCACTTCCCGCATTATATCGTAGTTTCTCTTTTCTGCAAAAGTTCCACTGGGAAATCAATACAAAATTTATTTATCAAGGCCCCTATTCTGTCAATCACCGTAACAAGAGCACCACTGAAAACTGCCATGTTTCTGACCTTCTTCAACTTCTAAAGCCTTGCGAGTTCAGACTTCGATGGGTCATAGATAGTTATATTATCTTCTTCCTTTGTTCGCTATTTGTGTATCAAAGGGACGCAATGGATCAATGATTAACCTTTCTTTTCCTATTTTATCTTCCACATGTCGGCCTTTTATGTGCTTCAGTTTCTTATCAGACTGTACTGAATTTATTCCAAATCTTTCGTACTGATGCCACGTTGGCCTTCGAAGGTTTATCGTTGCAGTCTTCCTTTTCTCGATGGATTCCCATTTTCCACACAGTATTCAATGTATTACTTTCGTAGCTTGACCATATCTCCAACACTTGTAAACATATTAAGTTAAAAGTTTGCCATTTGCCAGATGTCATATAGTCTCATCGAATTTCCCAAACGTTCTGCAGACTGGTGATAACTCGTCTTTGTGAACAGACTTCCCGATATTATTTTTACTGATGGTCTGATTCTGGGCTGTTGTTGTAGTGCTTTCAATTTCATTTGAAAATACTTTACAACCAATTACATGTTAATTTGCAATTACTTCTTTTTTTTCCTTTCTCATACTGACAAAGTAATGTTTTCTTTTATTATTATTATTATTATTATTATTATTTAATCTTCACTTTACTGTCTCAAAAAGGTCCAAAAGTGTTTCTGAGTCCAAGTAGGTTGCAAATTACATCGGTTAACGTATTTTTCGACCCAAATGTTTTCGGGAAATGAATACATGTTTCTGGGCTTTTTTCACCCTGAATCTAAAATCTTTTCCCCATCACATAAAGTTTTCTCAGTACAGATAAATTTTGTTTTGCTTAAAACTGGACAAATTGCCTAATTCACAGGGATATGCCACGGCTTAAATATGCGAGTGACATAGTTGAAACATTACGTTAAAATTATTTATAATTCAAGGAAATGTCTTCAAATAACTTTCAAAATGAATTCAAAGATATTTCAGTTTAGATAAGCTGACCTATAAAATGCTTGATGTTATGTGAGATACCTCACTGGAAAATGTTCTTGTGCCCACAATGTTCTTACCTTGTCAAAACTTTGTGTTTCTTCTCTACGTTTCATAGAAGATCGTTAGAAGTCATTCAAGAACAGCGATTAGTAGTTTTTTTTCTTTGTGCTTGAAGTCGTCATAATATTTTATTATATCACTTGAATTTACCTTGAAGTCGTCATAATATTTTATTATATCACTTGAATTTTACTGCAGTTACTGTATAACATTCATAGGAACCTCGATAAATAAGGTTTGTTAGGCGAAGGTATTTAAGACTAGCAAGATTAGAATTTTCTTTATCAGCGCTTAAAATAGCCGCCAAACACCAGATAGGTATAGCCAACTAGGCACTTTGCAGATGGGATGTGAACATGATGGCTGATTTCTGCTGGAACATCAAAAGAGATCAACCTTCTCAAAAACAACGTAGGGTTTCCAAGAAGAGAAGATTAATAACTTTGGATGAATAAAAATGAATGTATTTTTCATTCCTTATATTTTCTTTGTTTTGATTCAAAAATTGATGACAAATGTTTGCCTGAATTTAGTTTAGTGTGACATCTTTCTGAAAACTTTTTTCAACTGAATATGCTGAAAATACATTCTTTAAATTGTTGAGATTCTTTTTCTTTCATGATAAGTTATTCTTACCTGAAAACGTTTAAGGTTGGTTCTCTTTGGCCCTGGCATATCACTTATAAATTGGCCTATTTTAAGCAAAATAGAAATTATCTGTACTGAGAAAACGAGAGGAGATAGTGGGGGTGGAATTAAGTTGATTTTCAGATTCAGCTTGAGAACATAGCCCAGAAACATGTGCCCATTGTCCAACAACATTTTTGGTCGAAAAAATGTCGACCGGTGTTATTTTTCCATTCTACGACCACTTCTCCCTTTCACTGTTCTATCGGAATTTCCATGGAAAGTCACCAGACGAAATTCCTTAGTTCCACCAGTTAAAACCTGCCATTCTATGTACATTGTACCTTGCCACCCTCATTTCCTTTGTATTCCACTGGTGAGATGCAAGTTCCACACTCGCAGTTTCTTCAAACAAAGCGCCCCCAAATAGATGATACTCAAATCAATAGAATCTTAAACCGTTTTACGTCTAGGATTAACCGTAATATTTTCCTATATATTCCCACAAACTTTGACTTTTACTGTGTAAACATCTACCACGTGTGGCTGTTAGGCCTTATACAAAGTGAATATCATTAAAAAAAAGCAATAAAAGTCTATTATCTACCCATCAAATATGGGAATCGTTTCGTTCCCTGTACTCTGTAACATACCCTACGTATATTACATATGACTTCATATGTATGATAAATATCTGTAAATTGTTAGCAAGGGTTACCATAAAAGTATCCCAACGTAAATCTCTGCTTGAGTCTCATAATCGGAAAACACGTTTCATGTTACAAAAAGAAAAACCTTATCTGGTGATATGTCACCAAAAAAGAAAAAAAATAACTGAAAGAATCGATTAATTTTCTGTGAAATGTAAGATTCATTTTACACGTTTGTTTTTTTATGACAGGATAAACAGAAAACTGATATTTAAAAAAAATCATAATGACTGATTAGCTGACTCCTGGATATAGATATACTTTATCAATGTAATCACCAAAACAAGAAAGAAAACAGGTGTTTCATTATAAATAGTATACACTGGTGAAAATAAGTTTAAGACAAATGGTTAAATTTTTATTCATTTCAGAATGTTTCTATTAAAACGATAAAAATTAGTTTTATTGTTTACGCTTTCGCTTTGGAATGATGTAAAAATTGTATATTTTTCTACAACTTGAAAAATTTTAATGCTGGATTAATTTAAATTATCCAAATTTGCCGCCAAATTAAGTTTAATACCGCATGTGTATTATGTAAATTATTTGCTAAATGGGTGGTCACATGGCTGGTCATTAATGCATTATATAGTGTAATAACTGAACATTTTTATACAATTAATACGCTATGGGAAAGCGTTGTAGTCTTAATCCAGTTACTAAATTCAAAAATAGTATTACTTCATCAAAAAAAGTTTCC